CGTCATAACTAATTTAGCAATTTTTTGCAAAAAGAACAACGTGTTAACAGCAAGGAAACGAAGCTGTCGACTAAATTCCTTCGTCTTGCCCGGCTGCCTTTCGATCCATGTGATATGCAAATGTCCCGTCTCCTGACTCGAGCTCCCCCCTCCGTGATATGTGATTAGAAATGAAATCGTGATTGTTTCTGTGTGCACGAATATTGTGCAGTGGAAGCTTGGAGCTGCCGTCGGATCTCCCGCGATTCTTGGTTGATTTTTGTTTCTAAGTGTGTGTTTTTCTAATGTATTTTTGCTTATATGCAAATTGCAAATACGCACATTTTGACGACCCATGGTGTGTGTGTGTGTGTGTGTGTGTGTGTGTGTGTGTGTGTATGTCCGGTATTTCAGCTCGGCACCCAAGCAAGCTCCGGCGCCAAAATTTTGCCTACGAGTTCCCCAGCCAAGTGCCACTCCAGGCTGCGGCAATAACTCTCATGCAAGTCTGGGGTCCATGTACGAAAGGGTGAAAGTTTTGGCGGGGAGACCACTAACTCAGGAGCCAGAAAAGCTATAAAACTGAAATTATGGGGTTGTGTCCCCCGTCCATCTGGAAATCAAAGATTTCAATTCAGCCTCCAGGTATGCGTGGTTCCCGCGTACGGCCCCGTGAGGGTTCCAGGCGCGCAAATCGCTAATTTGGGAAGCCAGGGAAGCTGGGAGGCTGAAATTAAAAGGGGATGCTCCCAGCCTCCGTGGAAGCTAAAAATATCAAGCTTAGCCTCCAGATATGCACTGTTCTCATGTACAACCCCGTGAAAATTTTTGGCGAGAACAGTTGCTATCTCGAGGTCCAGGGAAGCTGACAGGCTGAAATTTTAAGAGGATTTTCCCTGTCCAACTACCGCATAGACAATTTCTCGGAAATCAAGGAACATCATGTCACACATTTCTAGCTACTGGGTTTTTGAGCGATCTCATTACAGCACGAAATACTGCAAAAATGCATGTTCGCACTGGCCCGGCCGGTGCGGGTCGCCAATGATATTTAAAGTAAAGCTTTGTTTATTGGTTTGGGCAAGTGTTCCACACAGCTTCACAGCGGTACTCTCTGCAGCAACGCAAGCCATCCTCCGTGTATTACAACTTCACCAAGCCAGATTCTCGGTCACGTCAGCCAAGTCACTTGATATGCGTCGTGCTCCCCAATACGCAGAATTAGTCCAGTACACTATACCTTGATATCATCGATTTTGGCTTGCAACAGTTCATTTCGGAGCAGCGCTCGATGTGCAGCGTGATCAATGCGTGAATCATCCGGAATGATAACTGCAGCTGCTCCTGTTGGTAGTGGTGGTGTTACGTTTGGTGCAGCATTTGCGTTATTTGCGGCAGCACCCGCTGGTGTCCGCGGTGATGCTGATGTTGATCTTTTGAACGAATCTGATGAATCGGCC